TCAGAAAATTTTGATTTGTTCTCTTATTAATGAGAAAATGGCGATAAATGTGAAATTGGTATCACTGTTGTATGGCGTGTCTTTCCACTGGCTAATAACTCGGATCAGGAGCAGACTGCGCAAGGGGCGCACTTGGGTCAAAAGCGGTCAGGGCCCCATAGGCTCTAATTGCAAAAACAAAATGACATATTTTTGAAAATAAATAAAATTCATCTTAGCATCAACTGAAAATATAATGGCCTAAATCCGTGGAGAAAAATGTTTGGGGTGCGGGAAAGGTGCATCAAGCTAGTTTCGTTTTCTCGCCAGCCATGTCACATATTCTTCACCGCGATGAGGGCACAAGGAAACCAGTTGTTTCGGGAGCACAGAGATACCCATTCCACCCCTGACTCAATGGGACAGAACCTATTATTTAATTTCAATAAAAATTAGATTGAACATGTTTCCGCCGCAAATGCGTTTTTCTGCTATTCCGTGAGTTAAAGGAGCTAAATCGCTAATATTTGGGACCTAGAAATTAACACAAATGGGTCGCCAGGCATATAATAATGTAATATGAATGTATATTAACGGATTTACATTCAATCGTTTCCGTTTTACTCTAAATTTCAAATCAGTTATGTTCGGCGAAATATGCCAGAAGTCTCAATCGAATGGCAATCTTTAACGTCTGGTTATTTCAGTTTACATCGATAGTATTTATTGCGTATGCTTTCCAGATAAGAATATGATGTCACCGTTTTACCACGACTTGTGGAATATATCTAGCCTTGTCCTTCGAGTCCCTTCTTACAAATGGTGCTGAAACGCATTATGGTACACGATTCGTGTACCAATGGTAAAATGTTTATTTTGGCTTAAATATTGGATATCAGAAGCCCATCTTTACCAGGTAAGATCACAACATCAATCTTGATTTAAATTGATAAATAATTCGTGTTTTCAATCCCGAAGACTGGACGATATTGAGTTAGGGACTTGGCTACTTTAAGTAACTTCAAAGTTGTCTAATAATTGTTTTATAACCGAAGTTTCTGTCTATGCCGACTTAAATTTCAACCATCCAATCAGGCTGTTTCAGCTGCATTCACAAATAATAATCGATGCCCGAAAAATATGGCGCAAAGTATTAGTCAATACAGTACAAATTCGAGTTATTTAATTAAAAGAAAAGTAAACTTTTATTAGATTTGGGGCACTTTATTTTGCCAACTAGATGAAATAATAATTTTGGTTTTCATTTTACCCGTTTGCCCGAAAAGTCAGATTGCCCCACTGACTCGTACGCCTAGGAAGTAAACACAAAACTTTTATTTTGGAATGGTTGTCCATATGAGATGTTGAACAGATTAATCAGCGGGCTAATGCCGTGTTACAGTGCAGATAAAATAGTTTACCAATGGCCATAGAAAGAATGGATAAACACATTTTAAAATGTAGACTGTGCTTTTGGGCGAAAATGAAGGGAAACTGGACATCACTTACGATAGTTCGTTCGGTGTGGTACACGAGGCAGCGTGTGCTTTTGTAAACACCAGATACCAATTCTTGGGGTTCTGAGAATCCCACTATAAACCACGGACTAAAGGTGGAAATATCCATCCCCAATTTTTCTCAGGTTTATATTTCAGCTAAAATATATAAGTGACAACATTAAAGTTGAAATAAAGGTATACCGGAATAACTTGCTGTGATCGATAAGGTCATAGTGACCTCAGCTGTATTTAAATGGATATGTATAATGTGGTAATCACATACAGACCCCCCCCCCCCCGATACCCAGACAGATAAAATATTGGAAATGTGGGTATCTGGTCCAAGATACACATATCGGTAAACGCATAGATGGAGTGGACATCATTTTGGTCCAAGACACACACATCTGTTCATGAGGGTTATCTATAGTGTGAATACGATATTAGCCCCATTCCGGCGATCACTTGGAATACCAAGGATGAGGATAGACATCAGAAGGCTTTTCCACTTCAGAGCAAACTTTCCAGTCTTCTGTTAAGGGGAGACAAATACAATTTACGGGCCTTGGATCAATATGCTAGGTAGAAAGATGCGAAAACCATATTATGAACTGAAATTCTAATTTACCTTGGCCAGCGGGCATTTAAACGTTACATTACCATTATTGTCCTCGTCAATAATTTGCAATATCCGCATTCATTCTTTATTTATTTATCAACAATTAGCGGGGCTGGACGATTTACCCAATACCAAAAATTACTACATGTATCTCATTAATGTGAAAAAAAATGATTACTTCAATTTTATCAACAAAAATGAGTTAAATCGCGGAAAACTTGCAAAAATGTGCGACAATTGCGGGAGCAAGTTTTCATTGGGGCGGGAGTTCCTTTGGGTTTAGATCGTCAGAGATTTCCAGCTAATAAAATTACTCAGCAATCAAGTAACATTTTATTTCTTTTCTAAATCCCTTAGCACACTAACACAGTCGATGGTGGTTTCCTGCGACAGTGAACTTGGCAAATGCATATATAATAATACCAAGATCCTGGACACTCGGGTTATGAACCATCTGAGGTCACAATTTTTATCTGATTTAGATGAAACTTGAAACGAGTATCTTAAAACGAGTGTCACTAGTTCTTGGATGGGTTCAATTTTGGTGCGCATTAGCCCCTGCCTTTTACGCAAAATGTGAAATATGAAAGAAATTTGTGGACCTTCCAGGAAGAGAATTTTTGTCCAGATCATGAGATGAAACTTAAACTATGTGTTGAAAAGAACAAAAGTTCTTGGGTGAGTTCGACTGTTGTACGCATCAGACCTTACATTCTAGGGCTATAGCCCCTGTGTTTTACGCAAAATGTGAAATATGTATGAATTTTGTAGGCAACTGCTTGGTTCAACTAGGCATAACTGATAACAGTGATTTATTTGATGGATAATGGACAGAAGGAAAGGGTGTGAGAAAATTTCTATCCTGTCGTTTTTTTTTATAATTACCTAATCTGTCATAGATACAACGCAAGTGAGATGGAGTTGAAATAAAGATTGACTTTCAGTTAACTAATCGTGGCCCTCGCAACTAGGGGTCTCTCAACCCAGGGATCAGTATAGACAAAATGAAATGGAATTTAAGGACCTACTGCTCCGATTGAGCTAATGAAGAAGGGGGTCAGTATAAAGCATAGCAGGGGTTTCTTCTGAAAATTTACGTTCTAGAACGTTCTAGAATTTTATTTACTTTTTTATTTAGCTGAGCCAATTAATATATATATATATATACATGTACTATTGGTCTTGATGTTGGCGTTATCCTTTGATGTTGGCGTATCATTATTTCAAATAATGGTACGGGTAATGTGCCAAGCGTACATTATTTATATATTATACTAGTTGAAATATTGAACCTGCGTGACGTATTTCATTGAAATGCACGTGCTGGATAGTGTCTGTATTTTAAAGGAGATAAATCGCTAATATTTGGGACCTAGAAATTGACACAAATTGGTCACAAGGCATATAGTAATGTAATATGAATGGATATAAACTGATTTACATTCAATCGTTTCTGTTTTTACTGCAATTTCTTATCAGTTATGTTCGTCGAAATAAGCCAGAAGTCTTAATCGAATGGCAACCTCTAGCGTCTGGTTATTCCAGTCTACACCGATAGTGTCCAAATAAGAATATGGCGTCACCGTTTGACATGACTTGTGAAATATGTCTAGCATCGTTCATCGAGTCCCTTGTTACAAATGGCGTTGAAACGCATTATGGTACACGAAGTTAAATTTTTTTAAATTTGTCGAGTCGATGCTCATGCTACACGTGTAAAGCGTCAATGAAGAAGACGTTTTTCATCTAAATAATGGAAATAAGGTGAACTAGAATTAAAATTTACACTGAACAAATAAAGAAGTTGGATTATACATTGTTTTAATTTAAAAATTACATGAATCGAAGTTAGATATTACATGAATAGAAGTTAAAAATTACACGAACAGAAGTTAGAAATTAGACCAATGATTCTCAACCAGTGTGCCGCGGCAGACACGTGACCACGAGATCTTCCTAAGTGTGCCGCGAAATTTTGAGTGGCAAACTAAGAAATTGCGAAAAACCATGTGATCCCAAGTGAGTATTCACTGGTGTCTACTGGTAATTTTAGCTGTGTTTTCTTTATTTAGTTTGTGTCATTCTATGTGTCTATGACTTACTATGTTTTTATTTCGCAAAATTCAAATATTTTTCATACATATTTAGCCAGGTGTGCGGCTATTTTATTCCTGTGTTCCAAGGTGTGCCGTTGGCAAAAAAAGTTTGAGAACCACCGAATTAGACGATAGCATGTCAGAATTTTGAATCTATAATGTACAACCATAATATTAATATATATATATATATATATTATTTTATAATTCAAATTACACCAATACATGAACAAATAATTTTGCCAATTTTATGGCAAAATAGCCAAATTAGTTTGATGCATACTTAAAGTTACAAGTACACAAAACAAATATTTATATAGTTAAAAGCCTTAAATTGTGTAATCGACATAAAGGTTAGCCCTGGGGAGGGGGGGGGGCATAGCCTCCTACAAACAGTTTCTAATGCCCAAATAACAGCAAAATTTTGATTCATTAAGTTAAAGTCTGTCCACCGAGTTTGTATGTCTTGTTATTTATTTTTCTTAAAAATATGGGTCGAGCCCCCCCCCCCCCTTCCCGCTATAAATAGGCTACGCCACTGTCGACCAGACAGAACGAGAAACGAAATGTTAGACACAAGAATTGGCCTAACAAAAACAAATACGGTCTAGTTGCAGTATAAAATAGCTAGGTCTATATTTCACGTCTGAATAATTTCCTTCAATACTCATATAAATTTTGCGTTTGCTCACATATTTATCTTTGCATTTAGCATACCTTATACGCATCAGGGTCACAACATTTTTTAACCGGACAGGAATACCTTTTTAGTAAACAACCAATTAGCATAGGTGTCTCTTTATCTACCTCAATAGACAATTTGATTGGTAGATCCCTGTTAGGCGACTGTCATGGCTGGCCGAATGGTTTACGTGACATCAAAACAAGTAGTGGAAAGTTTGCAGACTTTGGTAAGTTTTAAATTTCTACGCAAAAGTCCCATTTCCATGAGACTCGAATCTAATACTTATTACCTTTTATTTCAAGTTTGTCTTATGACAAAGTTAACTATGATGTGTTGGCCTGGTCACTCAATGGTTAATTAGTGGACAAATCGATCAAAGTTATTATTTATATACCGGTAGTGTTGCATCGGTTTTGAATGGTCGGATTCGACATTTCTTTGATCAGGGTGTACTAGGCTTGCTATAAGAATAGGTGACGTAATATACACGGATTTTGCCAGGGCAGCCAAATAATACTATATATAGTTGCCCAAGTGTGATTTAAAGGAGCTAAATCGCTATATTTGAGACCAAGAAATTGAGACAAATGGGTCGCAACACATATAATAATGTAATATGAATGTATATAAACTGATTTACTTTCAATTGTTTCCGGTCTACACCGATAGTATTGCGCATGCTCTCCAGAAAAGAATATGACGTCACCATTTGACATGACTTGTGGAATATGTCTAGCCTCGTTCTCGAGTCCCTTGGCACTGAATCACATTCTGGTACAGGATTTGTGTACCAGTGGTAAAATGTAAAATATTTTGTCTTAAATATTGGATGTCAGAAGCAAGGGCGTGGATTTGTCATAACTTTTGGGGCGGGGGCGGAGGGGGGGGGGGGTGAGGACGGACGAACCCTGGAATCTGGAACATTTCATTACCAAAAGAAGTAAATAATTACGAACAGTTTACTGTACCAGTGTTTTTTCGATGAAGGCTGTAACAAGGGGTAATATGATGACAATATGGAAAAATTGACTACCTACATCAAAGCTGCATAAATATTAATTGTTCATGAAGTTAAGTGAATTGTCCAAAGACGTTCGTTCTACGATCAGTACTGTTCTCTTTGAATATCTTGGCGACATGAAGGGGGTCATTATGCACAGCACATATTCTCAAGTGGTTCATTCGGTTTTGCGTTATTGAGTTGTGCAGCCAAGTTTTGATATGGCGCAGAGTGCTGAAGGATCGCTCGGCTGAGCAGGAACTAGCAGGGTTCAGCAGTGTGAGATGAGAAGAGCTTCGACAGAAGGGAATGTCTTCCTCACTCCAGGTGACATAATGAGGAACTCTTCTTGCACAAGTGAAATAGATTTGGCCGAAAACTGGTGCTTGAAGAATGGCAATTCTTGTTCCAAGTCCCGATTCAGTTCCAGATACATAGAAACAAGCTCACTATCATGTGGATATAAACCTGAAAATCTGTCCTGGTGATCAAAATCATGGGGGGGGGGGGGGCAGATACCTATTTGTCCCCCCCCCTTCCGATTCTCAGTGGGGGGACGCCTCCCGCCCCCCCCCCCCTAAATCCACGACCATGGTCAGAAGCCCATCTTTTCCTGGTAAGATCACAACATTAATGTTGCTTTGAATTGACAAATAATTCGTGTTTTCAATGTTGAAGACTTTGGATGATATTGTACCCCCTGTTCCCAGCATTAACAACTTTTACCAAATACATGTTTAGTGTCATACATTTCTGCTCTGGTTGGGCTAATGAAGACGGGCATACACCGTACAGTGTGCTAATAGAAAAGTTTTGCCCTAACAGTTGCACTACAGCTTACTCATATTTCGAATTCCAATTGGTGTTCTTTTACATGCACTACAATGTGTACATGGTACCTCGGTTGTCCATCCAATCGGAATGACCAGGAACACTTCCTTGTCAGACTCGACCTCCATCCTGCACCATGCCAGAAAATCCCAAGGAACTTTCTCGACCAACAACGGGAGTGAACCTGAAACCTGTCTTGACTCACTAAGCCACTGCTGTTCTTCATTACTCAGAAAAATAGCCAGTTTTCTGTTTCATTAAAAGCACAATATTATTAATCCTTATCGTATGTTAACTTAGAAAAGGCAGCCACAGGCTAATTAGAGTATAGGTCGATGTTTGTTATTACTAATGATTACATTAAGTGTATTTTTTTTTATTATGTTCTGCAAACTAAACAAAAAACAAAATATATATAATATAAGCTAGCTTGTTGTCATTTTTATTAAGGTACTTACAATATATTTCTACCTCATTTTGGCTGTGTAATGAGACAATTAAAGAGAATGGTGTGAAAATGTGTTGACTGGTTGTACATGTAGCATGACAATCGTAAAGATAGACAGTGAAGGAAAACAGTGATTCAGAGGTTATTTTGATGTGATATTATTAATGAGACTTGAAAATATTAATATGTCAGTTAGGATACTAGGCCTCGGACTGGGATATTGCTGTTTATAATTCCAGCATAGGCTGACAAAAACATTTAATCATAAGACAGAATCAATGGTCCATCCATGGATATATTAGCCTGCATGTAAAATAAAACTTTATGATGGAATTTGAAGAAGAGTAGGTGGAAATGTTAAATTCTGCACACAATTCTCCCTTGTACACATAGTCATAGTACATAAACTTAATGATGTTAGTCTCAGAATTAGTTTCATATAAAATATCAATTAGACAATACATTGTATATCCAATTCATTCAATTCAGTAATACTATGCTTTGTTTATTTCATGTCCCTTTGAAGAAGTTTCTTCTGCTAATAGGATTATGGATAACCTTTTATTTGTTGCCCAATTAGAAAGCTCATGTAGTTTTATCAATAAGATTGCACAATATTACATGTCAATAAGATACTTAGCCTAGTATTGTTATACTTATTCACTTTGTGGATTTTGGGTTTATTAACCATTTGGATAGACTTATAAGGAAGTTTGCATGGTATCTTATGCATGTTTAGGGACTCAATGCTCAAATACTAAAAGTAACCATGTTTATATGAAGTCTTCATAGAAAAATTCTGATAAGATTAATCAAAATTTCCATATTGAAAGGTAAAAACAAGAAGCTTTAAATGTTTTAAAAAAGAATTTAAACATTTTGTACTAGGGTGAGGGGCTGTACATACATATACTCAAATATATACATTATACCAAAAGTAGCCACATTTATATGAAACTTTCAAAGAAAAAAATATAAGATAATGTGTCAAATATTTCTTACTAGTCAAACTGTCCTGCTAAAATAATGAAAACTTAAGAAAGTTTACAAAAGGAATTAGTCAGAATGTCCCAATGGTTGAGTAACAATGGTATAAAAGTAATATTACTATTTTTTTTATGAACAGACCATAACTGTGTAAAAGATAATCAACTAGATAATTCTTTATTTTAAAACTATGCATGAATTTTAAAATAGTTCATCTATTTAAAATTGATTATGATTGTTCATGGAAATGTAAGGAAAATCCACCAGTATAAGAGAGATACATGTAATTTAAAATTTAAACAGCTGTGTCACTTCCTGACAAATGACAGCACAATAACTAAATAGATTATTAGACATAATGTGTATTCAAATTTCATCAGATATGAGATATTCTGTTTGATAATTATTTTTTTTACTATTACATTTATACGCCCACATTGCATGTGGACGTTCTAGAAGTTAAAGTTAATATCCGATTGACTTTTAATTTATACACAGGATTGTCAACAATTTCCGATAATTACCTCCAGAGTTAACGCGTGAGCATTGTATTAAAAGGCCTGCCATTGAGTCAAGTGGCATTCTGATTAAAATACATATCTATAAAAAGCCTATGATGTCAGACATTGATTAATCAATTAGCGTTGATGTTTCTAGTGGTTTACCCACAGTTTCGTGAATGGCACGCCAAGAAGTCGCTGTAACAGAACGTTTCATTGAGTTAAATCTCTTACTTCTAACAAAACGCCCGTAATATAACAACTCTTCCAGATCCTAGTGTAGTAAAGACAAGTAAAACAAAATTTTGAACTATAAAAAAAGAAACGAAATAAGATCTGTGTTTTAATCAGATTGAGTCAAGTGGCTTGGTTTTGATTTCCCGCTTCTACATGTACGTGAGAAGGCGTAGGGTCGCTTGTCCAACCTGGGTTTACTCCGGGTCCTCCAGTTTCTTCCGACTGCTAAAAGACTCCTACGCGCAAACAAATTATTGAAATAATTCCTAATCATCGGGCTGTCGATTAGGGGAACCCTGACATTTTTGTCCTGTATACGGCTCCATGGGTGTTTTTCATGGAATCCAGTATTTTTCTAGTAAGATTGGATATCTCTACTTGCCATATATACCAAAATTGCCATACTTTTATTGGAAATAACCACCCGATAAATACTTTTCTGGGAACCTATCTTTAAAGTACCTAATCGCTAATATTTGGGACCTAGAAATGGATACAAATGGGTCGCAACGCATATAATAATGTAATATGAATGTATATAAACTGATTTACATTCACTTGTTTCGGTTTTACTGTAATTTCCAATCAATTATGTTCGGCGAAATATGCAAGAATGGCAATCTCTAGTGTCTGGTTATTCTAGTCTACACTGATAGTATTTATTGCTCATGATCTCCAGATAAGAATATGACGTCACCATTTGACATGACTTGTCTACACTGATAGTACTTAATGCGCATGCTCTCCAGATAAGAATATGACGTCACTGTTTGACATGACTTGTTGAATATCTCGAGCCTTGTTCTTCGAGTCCCTTGTTACAAATGGCACTGAAACGCATTATGGTAAAATCACAACATCTATGTTGATTTGACAAATAATTGACAAATAATTTGTGTTTTCAATGTCGAAGAATTTGGATGATATCGATAATGAAAAGCATTAGACTTCTTTGAAAGAAACTTTGGTACTTTGATTGTTTCTTTTGAAACTTTTACAACATTTCAAAACATTCAGTATTTTACTAGATTTACTGAGCAATGGATTTGATTATAACATATTTTATGCTAACTAATAGACATATTTCTGTACCATTTAAAGTATTTTTAACAAATACCATTTTCTGTGATACACCTATTTGTGACTGAATTCTAACAACAAATATACATATTTCTGTGCCATTTAAAGTATTTTTAACACATACCATTTTACGTACATGTATACACCTATTCGGGTGTTAACAGGTACGCCCCATGTGCTAAGAAAACAATGTAAATAATATCAATTTGTTATCTATTGTGTCCTGTATAAACTAGAGTTTATGTATGTATGTAACGTATTTCCCTGTGTGTTTATTGATTTTGTGATTAGTTGGAGTGGTTAATATACAGTTTTAAACAGAATATATATCATATAAATGAAGTTTTTAAGTACAGACAATGAATTTTGAAACATCTGCTGTTTGTTAAATAGATGGAGCATGTTAATCTAACATAATCAATTTTTACGCAGACGTTATTAAGTTCAGTTCAGATGGTGGGCGATCAGTTTTGACTTTTTAAAAGAATGTTTTAAATATTTTATTAAATCAGATTTTGGAAAGTTCTCTGTTAATTGGTGACACTTGTTGGATAAATGTAGGTGTGTTAGTGAATTTTCTAAGACTGAAGATATCTGAATTGTTTTAATAGCATTTAGTAATTGAATGGGAAATACACAGGACACAATTTTCTATGGAATTAAGTCTGGAAATAAGGCACCTGTCACAGACAATGTCAGTCACAAGTTCAGTCATTGTCAGACACAGTTCGTCTTGTCATGGTCAGATTTTTTTTATTTTCTGAGCTTTTGTTGATATTTATAATATCTGGCACATACATTTAGTTAATCATCATTTCCAGACCTGTAATGTAAGGAATATAGTTATTGGTTGATAAAAAACAGAGAAGACTAATCAAAACATTGCTCAGTAATAAACAGTAATTGTGTCCTGTATATGATGTGATTAAGGTTTTGTAGATTAAAGTAGAAACAGAAGTTCTATGGAAGACCCATACTGGGTTTAATTGATTGAAGCTACATGTACGAATCTACAATGATTCACTTGTCATTCTCTTTAAACTGACTGGACCAATTTTATTTCAGTTTTGATTTGATTACATCTGTATTATGATTGGTTATAGGAAACCTCTCAATAATTAAATTTTCATTTCCACAATGTGACGTGCCTGTTTTGGATATGGTCATTATTGAAAGATGTCATAAAAATGAAACATATGTTGTTGAAAGTGGAATTGTTTTTAGTATATTTGAAGTTGTCTTCAATTTTTTTAATTACAAATTGTTTGCTTATGTATATGTGACCTGTGAGAGCAAATAGAGTTGAAAATTGCAGGTCTTTTAAGATATGAACAAAAGTGTTAAAATAGGCTAAAAATATCTTTTTAATTAGATAACTCGAAACGTAAAAGTCTAAATTTGACAAATAAAGCAAACTATTTGTTTTTCTTATCCTGTTTCAACATTTTGTTCATATATTAATTGTAGATAATGTATTGCAACTTTCAACTCATTTTCCTTTCACAGGTCACTTAAAGGTATGTGTCTTCATGTTTTATTCAACCAAAGGGCATTTTAGAAAACTTACAGGTACTAGTGCGGGCATGATATATCGTTGAATCAATGTATGATGATTCACCTTCTCACGATTCACGTATTGTATCACAATTCTTTTTTATGTCGTTTCAGTAAGTTACCTGTCACACTTTAATTATCCATGTCACACATTATCCATAGGTTTTGGTCCCTATTTTGATCCACATTAATGTCTGGATATCAAACAGTTTAATTTCTTCGACATCGGCAGGACTAAAAATATCAATTATTCATTTAACCTGTTGTTTTCATGGTAAATATTGACCTGGTCATGAATTGTATCGTAGCACCTGAATCGTATCGTATTGTGACTGCAGTGGCAGTACCAAGCACTAACTAATATCATGTAATTTATTCTTTATATATTTATTGACGAGAATTTCAAGAAAGTATAATTTCACATACTTGTCAACTTTTTATTGTTTTATTATGTTTATATACTTACAGAAATCAACAGTGAGAATGATGTGACATTCGACTAGTTATTTTCTAAACTTTCCTGAAGAAGCCTGGTATTGGAAGGATGAGTTGAATTTGAACAACTGGATAACCATCAAGTGCCTTATAACAGAACAAATAAATTATGTGCTACTACTCTATACATTGCTGAAATGTAAAATTTTCTTATTTGAATTGAAATCCCCTGTCTTCCAGTTATTGATTCAAAGATTTATCACCTCTATTAATTTATGTCTGTCTTCAATTTCCTGCATTTGTGGACAAATATCAGATGAGTGTTGAGTGCCTGTTAACTTACAATAGTGGACAAACATCAAATTAGTGTTGAGACCCTGTTAACTCACATTTGTAGACAAATATCATATTAGTGTTGAGACCCTGTTAACTCACATTTGTTGACAAATATCATATTAGTGTTGAGACCCTCTTAACTCACATTTGTGGACAGATATCAGATTAGTGTTGAGACCCTGTTAACCCAATGTTGTGCTTCTGATTCGAAACTAAACAAAGACAATAGAATAACTAGTACTCTTATTAAAAAAAAAATTCTGAAGGTTTATTATGATACATACACATGTACACATTAAAAACAAAACGTTATGAGATTTTCATAGCGTTACTTTACAAGTTTGGTGCTACAGTATATTTTCTTTAATATTTAAACAAAGATATTTTCTTATGTATTATACAATGTACATTACACACAGTAAAATTTCATTCATTTATGTTAATGCCCAGTATGTAGATAACTATGGCAATATTTTAAGTGAGGAGAAGCTAAATGACATTTTGTATGCATGATATATTTATATTTCATGTTATCTTCTATCTTTTGTGCAACATCCCATATCATTTTACAGCTAAACACTGTATTTGATTCTTGTGTCTATAGGATATTGTTTTTTTTTTTATATATATATATAGATATCCAAATTCTATGGGCTTTTTTGCAGACCGACATAATAACACAAATTGTTGCGGTTCCTGTGGGAAAAACTCCGCATATGTTAGACAGTAAATGAAATATGTTTCCCAAAGAACACACCTAACAATATTTCATATGTGCAGCATATTTTAAGAAATACATTTTTGAGGTGGTTTTTTTTTTTCACTGGTATTTCATTCATAGGAAATCGTTAATTAAATCATATATGCACATGGATGTATAAGACAACAGTTCAAATCAATATGATAGTTGAATAAAGGAAGAATTTATTAACTAAATTATTTAATATCCATCTTGTTTTTGGAGTGAAACACTAAGAAATGGACAAAGTGTGCTGAGTTATAAATGTATAAATAAATACGGAATAGATTGAATCATCAGAATAGATACAGACTGAGAATTTTTGTATATTTTCGGATTTATTTAGAAGAAACTGTGATTAAATGTTTATTGTATTATATTAGTGAGTTACACACACAGCTATCAAGATGAATGCAGAGTTATTGGACTTGGGTGACCTTACGGAGGAGGAGAAACTGATTATATTAAAAGTTATAAAACGGGATGAAGATTTGCGCTGGGAAAAAACACAGCAAGTCAAGTAAGTTCGACAATTGATGTTCAGTTGAAATCTGTGTTATTGTGTATATTTCTGTATATATTGAAACGTTCTTTGATTTAAATTTTTATCAAGATTAAATGTATGTTTTTTGGAGATTTTTTTATAATTTTGCACTTTACCCACCCATTTCATAACACAATAGACAGCTGTACATGACAGTGATAAGTGTGTTCTTTTTATACGCCCACATTTTCATGTGGACACATATTGTCGTCATCCCTGTCTGTCCGTCTACAATTTGTTATCAATAATTGTTATCCGATCTTGGTTCTTTTTGATATTGGCATGTCGTAACTTCATTGATTATGGCCCCAGTTTGTAAGATTTAGTTTGTTAACCCTCTAGAGGTTACAATTTTTATTTGACTTTAAAAACTGTTCAATTATATCACTGCTTAAGATCCCTACACTCAAGCGAATTACTAAAATAAAATTAAACCATATTATGTGTACGCTGGACACATTTTGCATTGGTTGTCCTGTGGCTGCATCAAGAGGAAGCTAGGTTGGAAAACTGAAAGTTCAAAAGTTTAATTTCCACTTTTTTTCCACTTTTCGAAAACACTGACTCAAATTATGTTTAATCCTTTTTGTTTTAGTCAAATGAAGAATGACATACACAATTTACGAATACAGAGTGTTTTACGCGATGGTGATGACCTAAATAAAATGTGTGCACGGTGTCATGAACAGTTTGGATATATCTTCAATAGGGGAGAAGTTTGTCCACAGTGTAAATTCCGTGTATGTAATGCATGCCGGGAGGTAAATCTTTCTGGAACATGGTTGTGTACACTTTGCTTCAAACAAATGTAAGTATTTTATAATTACATTAAGGTTATTTTAGTCGTATTTTTATTTACTTTTGGGTTATGCATTTTATAATGACTTGAGTATTTGCTTAAATTAAATGAACGGAAATGGGGTTTAACGTCCTACTGTTTTGCTCCGAACTGGGCTAATGAAGGCGGGCATACACCATACAGAGTGCTATGAGGGAAATTTTGCCCGGACAGCGGCACTACGGAATACTCTTATATCAATTCCAACTATCAAGGGGTCTTTTACATGCACGCCAATGTGTACACAGGACCTCTTTTTTTTTGTTCCATCCGAACGACTAGACATCTGTCCTTGTCAGACCCTCTGCCCTGCTTCACTGACAAGGGGGAACCACGCCGGAAAAACTAGATGAACTTTCTCTGCCAATGCAGGGATCGAACACCCGACCTTTCTAAATGTATACAGGTAGCAGTTTCGAATCATGTCATGGTCCGAGAAGAACCTTTTTTTCAAGCTAGGTTCACACTTGCCAGGGGTAGTATGTGTGTGGTAATGGGCCTAAATGTGTCTAGTTCAGATTGAAATAGAGAGTAAGGTCCCAATTAGAGTTGAAATTTAAATATGTGTAAGCTGATCTGCTGTTGACATATCTGAATCATCCCCAAACAAATTTTCGTGCTCATAACCACTGCTTTCAGTAATATTCTTTCACAGCTGTACATGCTGTTTGTTTTCTTAGCACTTTATGTTGGATGAAATCTTTGACAAGAAAGACAACTCTTGATGGCATGAACATGCAAAGGAACAATAAAATGTTTGACGTCTTTACTTCATCTAAATGTAGTTACATGTATGATATTGATTCCCAAATAAAAGTTTTGGATCATATTTCAATCTATAATTAAGACCAATTATTTATCAGAGGGGTTTGATGGCTGAATGGTTAGCATGTGCGTGCTGTATCATAAGGAGTCAACTATTATGGTTTGAATTCGAATCCCCGGTTGTATGTGACAAGGAGTAGGGTTGCTGTCCAACCTCGTGGGTTTTCTCTGGGACCTCCGGTTTCCTCCCACTGCTAAAGACCCCTACACGCAAGTGAATTATTGAAATAAAAAATTAAACCATGTTAGTCCCGAGATGACCTAGTTTGTGTCAAGTGGACGTTAAACCACATTTCTCTCTCTCTCTCTCTCTCCCCAATTATTTATCACCAGACATGGCATCATTTGCATTTTACTGTATATTTTCTGTGGTTCGATAAAGTTGTTGGCCAAGAAAATTCCCACGGATTATCCGGCATTGTTTCGCACACCTGATTAATAATTGTTCTGAATTCATTGCCAGAGTAATTTTTTTAGCATATAATTTGGGGTTGATTAATTGATCAGTGAAATTTAATGGGAAAGCTGACAAGGAAAGTGTGTCGGGTTGTTTGGAAGGGATGTAAAAACCAAGGTTAAATGAACGTTACCACATGTTTGTAAGAAGATAGCCAAAGTATTGTGTCAAAGCCTACATGTACTTCATTCGTTAATGCACTGAGAAATCTAGGCAAAGATGTAAAAACTAATTTTAGAAGTTCTTAGAAACATATATTCACACCTCTTATTCTCGGTGTTGGGGTTTGTTCCTGCTCGCTCACTACACTTTATTTATTACTTTTTAGAATTATCCAAAATTCTATCCTGATTATCACCCTTATTCTTATTATTGTAAAATTTATTGACCCATGATGTCAACTGGCAGACTATGACTATCGCCATTCAGAAGCAACCACTGTCAAAACTGGTCGCCATACATCTTTCTTGTAAATCATTTTGGACTGTATTATTCCAGGCCCATGAGTGTACAGCACAGTGGGTGCTTAGGGATGGTCCCCCGGGATCCATTCACTTGAATTGGTATTTATTGTTTATTTCTTACAATGTCAATATAGTTTGTCTTGTCAGCAGGATTGTGTTATGTGTAGTACGGTCCTCCTGCACTTACTAGATACATTTAATTAGCGGTACACATGATAGCAGAAATAAGTACATGTATTTTCTCCATCTGCTTTTAGAAGTTTATTACATTAAGTTCTTTATTGACTCGTTTTTTTTTTATTTCAATTATAAGATTTCAAATGAACAGAACAAAACAAATCTGCTTTATTAAGATTCGTTTTAATGCCCACCTCTCAATAAAATGTCACTGTATATTGTAATATAAGATTTCAAATGAACAAAACAAATCCGCTTTATTAAGATTCAGTTTAATGCCCACCTCTCAATAAAATGTCACTGTATATTGTAATATAAGATTTCAAATGAAAAAAACAAATCCGCTTTATTAAAATACGTTTTAATGTCCACCTCTCGATAAAATGTCACTGTATATTGTAATATATTGTTTATTGCCAACAAACCTATATATCTTTAATGGTTTATTACAACTGAAGCCCAAACCAGACAATTTGAAATTGTAAATCTTATTATCAATCTACATTCAATTATTTTATAAACGTTGTTCTGTCTAGACGAAGGTATCTGTGGAATCGTTAATATTTCCTCGTAATTCTACATGGAGGGACCATTATTATACGAATTTGCATTATGATTACATCACCATAATATGCTTTATTGGTTTGATACATGGTTTAAGCATACAGATAAAATACTCTGTGATTTTTAATAATCATAATTGATCCTTTAATAATGTTTCTACACAGATCCTTTGAGGATGCTCTCAAATCTAAACCCAAATTATACATATAAATTGGCTATGCTTCAGATTCTTATAAAGCAGCATTACTTTGTTCCAACCAAAGCGACACACACTTGGCCTCAGAGTCCGAAAACTGCAGTTCACGCATCATTGTTGTGCATATGGACACAGAAACTGCTTTTTATTTTAGAATTTATTTTTTGCGAATGATGGAACAATGGTATCCAGGATTAAGACGAGGAATTAAAGATGAATGTTTTCTCAGAAACATTTTATCTTAAAAGAGTATATTTGAGGAACATAATAATCTTTTAACTATTTAATGGGAGCAAGGTGGCTCAGTGAATAAGGCACTGGCTCACTAATGAGTGTCTCAGATTCAATCCCATTATTGGCCAAGAAAGTTCCTCAGGACTTTTCAGGATGGATTTCCCTTGACAGTGGTGCAGGATGGAGGGCGCCTGGCAAGCAACAGGATCTAGTTGTTTAGATGGGATGGAAAATGAGATTTCATGTACATACATGTAGGCCTACACATTGGCATGCATGTGAAAGAGCTGTTGACAGTTGAAATTCGAAATATGAGTAGGCTGTAGCACACTGCATGACATATAGGATGTAGGCCCTACCCGTCGCCCTGTTGGTGCAGAAAGGTACATACATGTACATGTAGGATGTTAAAGTCCCACTTCATATTATTTCTGCATCTTTCATAGAATTATAATGTAAACTTGTGGTTGTCTTTCAGGCAATTAAAGTTGTTAACAGGGGAATGGATGAAACCTGAGGAAGAGAAAAAAGACAAGATAAAGTATGTAGGTGATATTGTTAAAGCTTCAATAAGAAAGAGTATGACATCGGAAGGTAAGCTTATGTTTCAATGCTTATATTTTTACCTAGATTATTAATGTCATGCTTTGTACATAAAAGGCAACAGGGCAAAATAAAATTTCATACAGTGTTATCCAAGACAGGACTCGGCCCACAATCTTTGCTTCCAGAAATGAACTTATTGTAACTGAAAGAGAGTCCTTGGGTCTTTGCTTCCAGAAATGTCCTAATGTCTGACAATGAAAAGGAAAAGCCAGATACACGTAGTTAGTGTATAAAGGAATCAACAATATCAGAATAATCAAATCAGAAATGTTTACCGAAAGCTCAAGAAAATACTGCAACCATAAATAATCACTTTAGTTGAAACATTAAAGCATGCATTAGATAAGAACTTCAACCAATCACTGGGGTTAAAACATAATAGCATGCATTAAACAACAACCTCAACCAATCACTGTAGTTGAAACATTAAAGCAGACATTAAATAAAAACCCCAACCAATCACTGTAGTTGAAACATTAAAGCAGGCATTAAATAAAAACCATACTGTAGTTTAAACATAGCGTGCACGTGCATTAAACAAGAACATCATGATTTAGTTGAATCATTAAAGCATAGGCCTACATTGAATTAGAACATCTCAATCAATCACCATAGTTTGCCATTTTTAATTAAGTCTTAAAATTAATCTGTATTTATAAGGAAGTCAGATGAAATGAAATGAGGTTAAACGTCCTACTTTCTGAACTTACTAGGCTAATAAATACATGTACCACTCCCTCCAAAACTATTCCATTTAATACAATTCACACTTTCATTTTTCTCACAAATTAAGTGATTGACCTTCAATTTGTAGTTTTGCATTAGATTAAAAAATGTTGGCCCATAACCCATCTCTCTTTAATTATGTGAATTTGGTTTTGGTTTTGGTTGCACTAGAATTAGTGGTGGAAGGAGTTTTGGCTTTGAATTGAAACATTTTTTGTTGAAGGTGGAAAATTTAGGTATTTTGTGTCAATGTCAATTTTGGCTTGGAGTGGGTCCCATTATGATATGTTGCTTTAACTTTTTGATAAATACATCCCTTAATTTGTTTGATTGCTATTTCATTTGAAAATATTTCAGTGAATAAAATATTATGATATAAATTATCTGTGTCTTGTTTATTGTGTTAAATTAAAAGCGAGACTCATGGCACATTGAGTAAGGCAATAGCTCTCTAACTAGGGGGCCCGGTTTTACGATATCTGGTCTTGTCCAAAAAAGTTCTCTGGATTCCCCTTATCAGTGGTGCAGGATAGAGGACCTGACAAGGACAGCATCTGGTTGTTTGGATGCTAAAATGTACTCAAATTGATTATTTAACATTTAATTAAAGGGTCAATCCTGATAATATTTTGGAGAATTAAACTGCTTAATTTTGTGTTAAAATCCCTTAAAATTCTCTACCTTAGGGCTGAGCAACTAACTCAACATATGTGATACGTTTTTGAACAACTTAAACCCGTCAGTCTTTATCTGGAAATGGAGACTGGTGTCCCAAGCTGTATTTTGCGGTGTCTGGATAAAACCAGACTTTTATTTTATAAAAATAATGTGTAGGTGAAACTTACCTTTCGTTATCAAGTACAGCACATGGGTCATTCATTGTGGAGCCCTCTAAAGGAACGGGGGTCGATTATTAGGTAACCCAACGGAAAAATTGACCCCAAATCTTGAACTCGTTACGTATCCGGATAAGGAATTTTGACGTTCATGTCCAAGCAACTCAATATTTTGAGCTGAAATTTTGAGACAAGGTAAATACACCATTCCTCTTTATTTTGGCACTTAAATTTCATACATACTCTGACTTTTATTTTTGAGACTCTGTTCAAATCGGGATAGTCCCTTTAAGAAAACAAAATCAAAATATCAATGGTAAATAATCTCATGGCTTGGATTCATTCGGATTAAGAAGAAACCTATCAAAAGATTTTAGCGAATATATGGGTGACGCAGGCTTGTTTTGACCCTATCCCTATTATATCTCCTGCAGTATAATGCTGATTGTTGACAAATTTTCAGTTCATCACATCTTTATAAATACTCAATGATGTGATAATCGATATTCTGTTTAGGATTCGACTTTCTCAATATTTTAATTTGCAAGGGATTCAATTCCCTAATATGTCGATCAGAGATTTTATATGATCATATTTCTCTTTTTATATTTTATTTTCATTTGTAAGCCTAAACCAAGTGATAAATTTAAGCAAATATGGCAGACATGTTGGTATTCAGATTAATTTATTGAATTAAGTTACTTGATATGGGTAGTGCAGTAGCACCTTGATAGACCAATCACAGATGTACTGGTATACAATTTCCATCCAATCGATATAAAGGATTTCAACATCGTTAAGGAAATATGTAAATATATTGATTGTACTTGAACATCAACGGGCAATCAAGCCATTAAATGACATCCTAAGCCACTTCAGAATAAATGTAAATATATATTTACCGGTATGTATTATTATGTATAAAGCAATAATAATTACATAAATAAGTATTATGTCATGTACATGTAGGTATACATTATTTGTTGTAAAATGGGTTCTACCGGTTTCCTCCCTCCACTAAAAGAAACATATGTGCAAGCCAGTTATTGAAATAAAAATCTACCCTATGTTAGTCCCGGAATTAATTAGTTTTTGTTAAGTGGACGTTAAACCCAATTTCTCTATCTCTATTGAAATTATACTGATGTCTGTAAGAAACTATACCAAGAGAATATTGAATAAAAAATGCTTGAAGTCATTGGAGACATTGGTTATATCATAAGCCAACCTTTCAGTTCCTGTATCCAAATTATGAAGGGCTTATAAGTTTTTATTCACATGGTTTGTCGGCGTGTAATTGCAAACACACAATTAATTTTTGGGATATGAAGGATAATATATCTTTAAGGTAGATGAAACAAATCTTCAGACATTCAAGTTTTACTATTGCAATAATGCATTAATCATGTGGGAAATACAGGTGAATTATGATTGAAGCTAATTGGACAAAAAGTTAGAATTTCTGAATGTTTTTCGTTATCTATCTCACATAGTTCATTTTTAAAGAAATATCATACATGTAACAGTTGGAGATGTATGTAATTACCAGTAAGGGAAATATAATTAAATTCAAGTCCTGAACTCTAGCAGAATCATACAGCTCTAGGACAATTCATCCCTGAACAATTCATTCCAGGACAATTCATCCAAGGACAATTCGTCCCCTAGGACTATTCGTCCCCAGACATCTCGTCCCCAAGGACAATTCGTCTCATGACTATTCGACACCTAGGACAAATCACCCCTAGAACAATTTGTCCCCGGAAAACAATACTATAGTTCTTAACTTAATGGTTCCTGAAGTGATAATTGATAGAAATAGCATCTGCATGGTTCTTAATGCTTACAGAATTATCCGGTGACGAATTGATCTGCTATGAATAGTCCCGGGGGATGTACATGTATTGTCCGGGACGAATTGTCCTGTACTCGAATCATACCTACATGTAAGTTCAACAATTCTGTTGTGATATCGCAGACAAGGAACTGTTCCCTTGCAAACAAATACTTCAAATGATTTACATGTACTTGACATTTTCAGTGCAGACGCCTTTATATCTATATGACTCTGCAAGTAAATCACAGAAAGCATTGATTGTTTGGTTTGTTATTTTTCTAGGATACAAGGACACTTATAATGAGTCTATTATTAGAAGAAAAAGAAGAGCAAAATTGATTAATATTTAAGACATAGAAGTTCAACTCTGCTGATTGTATTACAAACATACTACAGACATATTAATCTCATATCAATACACTCAACCATACACACATGACAATCTTATTATTTTATGATGACTTTACTTATTTGAAACAAGAGATTAATAGTATTTCTTGACTGGGCCCCCAAGCACAACTCGTCTTCTTGTTCTTCTTGAGGATGACACTGTTCTAGAAAGGGCGAAGGCTCTGCTAATTGAAGTACGATCAACATGAAATTTGGTATGTGTTGCTTGGGGAAATCTGCATAGAATGATGGACTTAGATTGATTCCTGGTTCATGATACGCTCATACTTTTTAAAGAAAGCATGGGACTCGTAAAATTGATTTATTGGTCACACTATTTGGGACACAATATAACTGTAAATCTGCTTCTAATTAATTGAGCGAGAATCTTTTGGTAAATACCTAGACTGTGTTTGATGATGAGATAAGAATTCCTTTGGTCGAGAATATGGGAAACAATAACTCTGCTTCATTTAAAAATGATATCACCTGGAAGTGTACTCTAGACATTTATTCCCAGAAGATTGTATACCGATACTCCCAAAGACATTTTATATACCATTATAAAGCAAAGACAATGATTCTTTCTTTTAAGGAACTATCTGACTTTTATACAATTAATATCTTTGAATGTCCGTGATATGAAATGTAATTTCTGTCTCGCAGTATGTTTATCAGTGTATATCAGTCTCATTATGATTAAGTGTAATTTAACGTGTTGGTTTCATATTGATCTCAACCTGTCTGTAGAGACAGCTCGACGGATTTTTTTTGCTTCCTGATTCTAGTTGTTGCTTTGTAGCTGATATTAGATTGCATGAGTTTTCCCTGTACATGTAGTATATGGCTAAGACAAATGTTTTTACCATGACATTTCTGCTTCTGATGTTAATATTTTTTGTACTCTTCATGTCACCCTGTTATCTATTTGAATTTGATATGTTATTTTATGTGTAATCTTTTAGTATTCTGGGATATTTTCTGTTTGCATGTGCACCATGGGTTCCACGTCGGCCATATATGCCGGTCGGGATGGAGGGCTATCGAAATTTCTTAGTCAATCATTATTTGAACACCTACTTATCATAAGAATTTTCTAGAACAAAGCCGTTTACCGCTATTACAATCACACACGATGTAAACAAGATTATTATGATCTTAGAAAAAATGGCAATTGATATGAAGTACTGCTCTTCGCA